ATATATATATGATTTGTATTTAGAGCTCTCATAGAAGAAAGTTTTCTGTAAAACATAGCTTGACAAATCCTAGATTAAAATGATAATAAAAGATCGTGGTGGCTTTTAAATATTGGGATTGTATGACTTGGTAATGCTCCATTACACAGCGCATCAAGCCTGTTGCCATGCTGCGATAACGGAAGCTCCTATGATAACCTCTGCAGTTTTGAGATCCTGAAGGGCAGTCTGAGGCAACAAAGAATGATCACATCCATGTTCCTTGCATTTTAGGATCAAGTGTGTTCATTCCTCTGTGTCTTTTAAATAGCAGCGTAAGTGTGTTCGTGCGTGTCTGTGTGTGCTCTTATCATATACAACTAAAAGGTAGAAGTCTTAAACTACAGATGTTTATGAATGCGCACACATCCTGTGTTCGGAGTACAAATCCTAGTCAAACTCTGGAGGAGAACATGGGGTGGCACCCCAAAATCCTTCTGCTAAGATGTTATGTAAGGCTCCAGTTAGAGGCTCTGTGTTGTTAAAAAGCAAATGAAAGCTCCGTGTGGTGGCACATGCCTATACCCCCAGCATTCTGGAAGGCTGAGGCTGGATGGTCACAAGTTCTAGCACAGTCCGGACGACTGACTGAGGCCCTGTCTCCAAACAGATGGGCTGGGCATGTAGGTGGGAAGGCCCCGGGTTCAATCCCGAGTATGGGACAGAGGCGAAGAAAATGCAAAGCATGTAGCGCACAGGAGGAACTCGATGGAAGCTTCAGTTAGACTTCTCAGTACATCTCCTGCAGGCCTGAGATATAACTTCCAGAAGGGATCCTGTGCACCATGACCAACGAGTGGACGCTCCTGCTCCAGGTGTCAATGGTCTAAAGATCAATCCTAAAACTTTACTTTTGAAATAAACTTGAGTGCCACCTCCTGCAAAGTCCACTGGCAAAAGAATCTGAGCATTCTTTTCCTTCATACCATTCCACTTATTTCTCTTTAAATGGCACATTGTCACTTCCGCCGTGACCTTGACCAGTTCCAATCCTCTCATCAATACCAGGCGTATGCCTCTCCATTTCTCTGCCCCTCTTCCTGTTTCTTCCTCCCTCCTTGACTCCAGGCTTCTTCGCTAATTTTCTGCCCTCTGCACCCAGTCTGTAAGCCATCTGAGAGCAAGGATGAGAGCTGCTTCTGCCTGCCGGCTTTTTCTCCAGTACTTAGCACGGTGTTTGGCACATGGAGGGTGCTGAATAAATATTTGAATGAATGAATAAATGCTCTCCTTCCTCTTCTTCCTGAGTGCTCGCTCCTTGCAGATTTCTCACCAAGTCTGCACATCATAAATACACCACAGCTAGAGCTGTGTCTGTTCCCTGCCCTGTGCGGGAACCTAAGCAAGTGAACAAGGAAAGATGACATCCTAAGAGCTTCCAGTCCCCTTAGTTACAACTGGGTTTCAATAGGGCAAGGAAAACAAAGGGAAACCATCTCCATGCCGGGCTCCTTGGCTTGCTGCTGCGCACGTGCAGCCGTCTGCCCTGCTTGGCTTGATGGTCAGGTTGACCATCACCTGACCTGAGAGCTGGGAAACTTTGAAGACTTCGTCTCCAGGGGGCTCACATTTGTAAAACTTTGGGCCCTTTCTTCACTACACCATGCAGTGATTGCCTGATTTCTGACCCCATCCCTTTGCAGACACCCACACCTCCCAGCGCTGTGTTCCCCAGTTCTGGCTCTGATCCAGGTCCCCTCAACCTGCTGCCACCCATGGCCCAGCATGATGGAATGACTCACTCAACGATATGATATTTGCCTTTGGAAACACAGCCCAAGGGCGAGATTAGGCCTGGATTTAAATATCCAAACTGCATTTCTTTGCAGAGATGGAAAAATTGTGTTCATTGGGGTTTTTCCAAACCTATGTGCCGCTGTACTCAGCAGGCTGTGGCTTTATCGGACACCATGCATGGCCCTGGTTTGATTCTTTAGCTATTCCTCAGCTGACCTTGGCAGATGGCCCTGTTTCCTGGGATCTTTCTCCTCTAAACCCGAACATGGAGATCCTGGGGAGGGAGAAAGCTAAATAAAGGCCAGTGGTGGTGTTTACTTAGAACAGATAGTGCCAGAATCCCGAGCTTTCTCTCAGAGCATTACTCCAGGAGAATTTTCTGGGTCTGATACAGCTGAGAAAGGATGAATTCAGACACATTCGCTCGCACCGCTTGTCTACAAAGAGCGTGTTAAAAACTCATTATTCATTTTTTAAAAATAGAGACCTGTGCCATGAATTCCACTGCTATGTTGGTAGTGTGTGCACCAGCATTCTACTGGAGAGAAACTAGACTAGGTGTCTGGAGGTTTGCATCCTACTTCCAGTTATTTCATTTCTCTGGTCTCATTTTCCTTGTAATTTCAGCTGCCTATAGTTTCCTTATTTTACTCTGACTCTAATAATAAGCCAGGCTTAAAATAATGCAGGAAGCAACAAAAGCTAATATTTATCTAGGGCTCATGTGTACCAGATATTCCTCAAAGAATTTTGAGGTATTCAACTCTTTATTGCATGAATAGATCACTGGGAAACAGGAAAATGAATCC